AAGATGGAATCGAATGCATCAAGTTATAAAAGGAAAAAAGAAGTGCTATCGTCCAGTGTTGACCTAACGTACGTAGCCCTTGTTTATCCTTAGCTTAATTCACGGCATGTGGACTGTGTCCTGTCCCTTACCCCAGTTTCTGGGATTAAATTTTTTTTATTTTTTATAATGCATGCTTCTGCATTGTAACTGCTGCATGTGTGGTCTATGGTCCGACACGTTTACATCTTCTGACGACCTCGTGACTGGAGTCTTATTTTCATAAATGTTACTCAAGGTTTCGTTATCTGATCATGATGGTCAACATTCCAGGCGTGCCACCACTTTCTTTCTCTCTCGGTCAGTTTGTCCTGCAGGTCCTTGGCTGACGCCTTGTGAACATGGACGTTCTGGAAGCAGGCAAAAGAGGGAGACCCACCAAGAGATGGATGGACATGGACACAGTGGCTGCAACAGTGGGCTCAACCAGGCCCACCAGCGTGAGGCTCGGGGTGAGAGAGGCTCTTGGTCTGGGGTGCAAGGGGGTTGCCAGGCCTTGGAGCTGAGCCTCCCTGGCACCTAGCAACTCAAACAGAGTTGACATTTACAACGTGTAATTAGCTTGTGACTTGAGTCACGTCCACTCACTGCCTGGACTCCATTTCAATGTGGAATTTCTGAGCTTGTCAGTCTTAACCGGGAGCAGGAAGTCTTGTCTTCCTCCCCCAAAGGGCTGGCGGGTTTGAACTGCCCGTCTTGCGGGGAGTAGCCCAATCCTTATCTCTCCATGTCACCCGAGCTCCTCTGAGTCATGTAACAAGACAAACAACACAAAAACAACCCTCACTGCCATCACCTGGATTCTGACGCATTGAGAACCCCTGTGGTGGACCGGGCAGAAATGTCCCTGTGGGTTTCGGAAACTAACTCTTTCCAGCAGTAGAAAGTCTCCTCTCTCTTGTGGAGCAGCTGGTGGTTTTGAACTGCTGACTCGATATGCCAATGCCCCTGGAAAAGGATGAGATGTCCCCAAAGTGTGCACGCCCATGACTCCCCCGAACTGCATACTCCGAAGTATATAAACTCTATTTTCTTGTAATGGAGTGATCTCATTTGGAGTTGATGCATTTGGCTAAGTTAGGTCAATACTGGATAAGAGTAATCTTAATAGATTACCAAACTTTTTAAAAAATCATTTTTATAGTCGTTTTATTGACATACCTTACACCTTCCAAGATATGGCAATAAAACAGCTATAAAAAGAAGAATAGATTTAAAAAAAAGAAGAATAGATTGCACGGAGCTGATCCCAAGCGCTCAAGTAGAAAGAAAAATGTCTTGAAACTGATGATGGCAGCAAATGTGCTTGATGGATGGATGGATGGATTGTGGTAAGAGCTGTATGAACCCCTCCAATAAAGTGATTTAAAAAAAAATAAAATAAAAAGATCACAGAAAATAATAAAAGGCAGACTAGGGAAGAAAAGAAAAAAAGAATAGATTACCTAACTTCAACCACAAGAGAACCCTAATGGAGTTGCACACGGGAGCCCTGGTGGTGTAGTGCTTACGCAATCAGAAAGGTCAGCAGACGGAAACCGCCCGCTGCTTTGAGGGAGGAAGATGGGGGGCCTTGTTAACAGTTACAGTCTGGAGTGCTCCTAGGAGCAGTTCTCTCCTGTCCTGTAGAGCCCTTAGGAGTCAGCATTGACTCCAGGGCCGTGAACTTGTGGGAATGCAGTGAGCACTCCATATGGCAGCCAGTGGGGCTGTTAAAATCCTTGACGGTGTCAGCTGGGAATAAAAATCCCTCATTGGGGCTGGTAAATCCGGGCCCACTGCCGCAGGGTGTGAACCTTTATGAAGGCAAAGTGGCCATCTTAAAAAAAAAAAATTCCATTCATGCTTTTAGTCAAACATCATCTGCTCAGTGACACTTCCTGATTTAAAATCTTTGTCTTTCTCCTGCTTTGTTTGACGCCAGAGCCATTATACTCTTCTGACATATTAGTCATTTTCTTTCTTCTTTTTTTAAAAAATAAATCATTTTATTGGGGCCTCTTACAGCTTTATCACCATCCATCCATGCATCCCTTGTGTGAAGCACATTTGTACATAGGTCGCCATCATCATTTTCAAAACATTTTCTTTTTACTTGAGCCCTTGGAATCAGTTCCTCATCTCCGCCCCCCTCCTCCCCACCCCGTCCCCACCTCCGTCCCTCATGAACCCATGATAATTTATAATTTTTGTTTCAAGTCTTCCACCGACTGCTGCCTGCCTTCACCCAATTTTCTGTTGTCCATGCCCCTGGGAAGGGATTCTATGTCAATCATTGTGATCGGTTCCTCCTTTCTCCCCAAAGCTACCATCTTGAACTCTTTTCATTTATTCCTATTTTTTGGCTGGAGATTAAGAGTAAACCATCTAGTCAATGCTGACTCATTGCAAACTCCCCGCCCTGCCCATCCCCCCACCCCACACTTGTGGCTTTCTGAGACTGTAACCCTTAGCGCGAGGAGAGAAACCAGTCTTTCTCCCTGGGATCAGCTGGTTTCAAACTGCTGACCATTGCTGGCCCAAGGCTTAACCAGGACACACACACCCCCTCCGGACTCTCACTGTAGATTGACGTGGAAAGACATTCTTCCCATTTGAAGTGCATTGTCGGTCCAAGACACCTTCCTCCTCCCTGCATCCCTTCCTGATGATAGACACCCCCCCCATCTTTGATTGCTTTGAGCTTTATGTTGAATCGCCTAGAACAGGGGAATAGTTGTCTCTACTTGGTGGGCGGGGCACAGAAGTTAACACATGCAGGTAGCGTGAATACGTCAGCGTCCAAGTTTGATTTCTGTCTGTTTTATCTAGGGACGGTCCATGTGTCTAGTGGACTTTGGTGTTGTTTGAAAAAAAAAGGGGGGTATGAACAAGTTGGTTTCTCAAAATTCTATCACATGATGTCCATGTCGATCACCGAGTCACTATTTCCCAACTACCGTTCCGGGCTTAGCGTCCGACTTTTGC